GAGAGAGAGAGAGAGAGAGAGAGAGAGAGAGAGAGAGAGAGCGCATGAATACATATGCCTGAAATGGCCAAAGACAGAGTTAGCAATGACATCACAGACCGCAGTTAGGCTGAACTGGCGCCCAAACACCTGCAACTTCTGTACCCACAATGCCAGTCGGCAACGCACCTCCCTTCTCTCCAAAAGGGATTGCTGAGCCCCTTCAGTCCGACATGTTCTAGAGGTGTCAACTATGCAACCTCCAGGAATCCGAGGTCCAGGTTGCTGTTTGCTTCCCAGCCTTCATTTCCTAAGACGTTTACCTGTCGGTCCACTTGCAGTGCCTTGAATGTTAGTGCATCTGCCCACCCTACAGAGATGACTCTGGATCCTTCTTCCCACGGGGAGACCCATCCCGGTAGGGGTACTAGTAGCCATGAGCACCACAGATGTGCCAGAGCAGGACTGGCCATCTGGAGGCTTTGTGGTTCACCCCCGTGAGTCATGATTTTCACACCCCATCATTCCCCCCCGCCCCCCGCCCTGTCCAGGATCTACTTTAATGATTCTTCTCTGGTTTTCCGGTAACCCTTCCTGTGGTTTTGACTAATTCAGACATGATATTGTATTCTCGACCCACCCAAAATGTTAACATGGCTTCCAGAGCCAAAGCATAAATAAAACCTGAGAAATAAAACCAGAAACAAATGCATACAAGGAGGTCTTCGGTTATATTGTTGCCAACACTGGTTTCTTACAGCTGTCTTCTTGCGTGTTTATCGGAAGCTTTGGGGTTTTTTGTTTGTTTGTTTGTTTGTCTTTTTTTGTTTTTTGCATTCTGGTCACTGCGCTCCCAGTTGGGGTGAGAAGAATGGTGGACTTCTACCATTTTCTAGAAACCAGTATCTACAAAGCTGAAGAAATAAATTGTGGTCTTTGGCCAAGAACAATCCCCGTTGTCAACTGCTCTCTTCTGTAAAGAGTCGCTTTATGCTGTCATTCGTCAGAGTACGGAGACTTCATCTAAAATGGAAAATGGAAAATGATTGTTAAGGAAGCTATTTGGCAAATAAATCAGTTTTGAGGGAGCAAATACTCTTTTGCCTGCTAAAAAATCTGTAATCTTTCTACCAGTTAACTAAGAACTCATTAGAGTTATTAGGTCTGATCAGTCTGAAATAAGAGGCATAACTCGAGTAGATTAAAAACTGTGTTAAGAGGTCGACTCACGGGGCAGGCAAAGTGGCTCATGGGGTGAAAGCAGTCACCCCAAAAGCCCGAGTTCAACACAGAAATGCACACGATAATTAAAACCCCGCATCCATTCATCACACTAAACATAGTAATATTAATTATTATTTAAATAAGTAAAACCTAAAAATAGGTACAAAATGTAGCAAAAGTTCAGTTGGATCTAAATAACTTTGGTATATTCAGGACATCCAACATTGGGCTAAGCCATGCATGGCAAGCAAGGACTGTCTATATTTTGGGAATTCTTAAAGAATTGAATACCATTCAACTTCTAGCCAGGCAGCAGCTTCCTGGGCATCCAGATCCCTGCAAGGTTTTGCTCTGATGTATTCGCATTTGGTAAATTGGGAGTGCCAAACCCTTTGACAGCATTGGGGGATAGAAACAAATAGAAAGCATCCCAAGTAATGTTATAGATGGGGACACAGTTCTTAAAAAAAAAAAAAAAACTTATGTTCGAGCTGGAGAGATGGCTGAGTGGTTAAGAGCACTGGCTGCTCAAGAGGCCCCGGGTTCAATTCCCAGCACCCACACGGCAGCTCACAACTGTCTGTAACTCCAGTTTCAGGGGACCTAACGCCTTCACACCAATGCACATAAAATAAAGTTAAATACGTTATTAAAAAAAACACTTATGCTTCGATTGTTCTTCATGTTCTAGGGCCATAGAGACGGGCTGTGCAACACCCAAGAGAAACTGGAACTGGTGGTTCCTGAATTTCTGAAGGTAACTGCCAAAGGAGACTTATAGACCTTGGTTGCGCCAGGGAGAGAAGTGTAGGCATAGTTGACCCTCTGGTTTTGTGGCCAACACCGGAAGGCAGTTCTCGCCAGCTCCAGGATTTAGCAACGTGCATGCCACGTAAGCAGCGCCTTCTGTTATACATAGGCTCTTGAATTTGTGTTAGCAACTGTGCGTTCTCCTTGCCCAGGAGGTGCCACCACCCCTGTGATTCACTTGCCACCTTTGGTTCTTTGCCAACACCCCAGACCACTGAAAGACGGGAGCACGTACCGCAGTTTCAATCGTGGCGGGGCTCAGGTTCTCTCTCAGCACAGCGTATACACTCGGGGACATGGGGAGGAGGTCTGAAGGAGACTGTGGCTCCGTGGAATCACTTCGGCTTAAAGAGATAACAGGAGAATATTACAAGGATTATAACATAATAGCTCATGGTAGCCTGCTATGTCCGGGGCTCATCTAACGCTTCATCTCTTTGTGACAATGAGCTGCCTGCTTCATCATTTCCTATCAGAGCATTCAATCTGCTGTGGAATACATGACATATCAAAATGCAGCTTTCTAATTTCGGCCTTAATAGGCTGGAGAGCATGCCCTGAAGACTCGCTTTATGTGTTCAAAGAGAGGAGACATAGAATGCTTTATTGGGATTTAAAAATGCTTTATCTTCAGTTATATGTACTCCAATCTGCCCATAAATCTTTTAGGAAAAGGCTTTTGGAAAAAAATCAATTCAATAATAAATATTTTACGTGTGACTAACGTTACTCACATCGTTGAAATGGGGATAAACACCGAAGGGACATAGCCTTTGTCTCCCCGTTCGGTTGGTCTCGAAACTGAAAAAGAAAGGCACAATGTTGGGAAGAAATGTTGACATTATTGATAAAGTTGGAAATTGAACATCTAGGAAAATGTCTACGCAAATGCGCAGAAGAAAATAAATAATACGTTTGTCCTGTAATTCCCAAAATAGCCACACAGGTGAACTTGAAATGCATAGGCAAACAACAAAGCTTTTGGCAGGCTGATACGACTTCACGTACTAATGACTCTAAACTGACAGATGACAACTGAGCTGGCTTGATCATCTGCCCTTTAAGTGAGGCAGTAGTATCCAACTCATTTGTACATCAGGAAATTTATAGTGCCCCGTAGTGTCTTTGAAGGTCTTAGCCTTAAAGGTTTGGTTGTCACGTCTGTGGGGCACCTGGGGATAGTTAAAATGTGTCTCCTGGCAAAGGAGAGTCATTAGCTATGTGCTTTAAAAGGAATATTGAGGCGCCAGCCTCTTTCCTCTCTGTGTCTTGGTCACACACTCCCATCATGAGGTCTCATCGTAGGCCTACCAAGAGGTGATGGAATTAACCTCCAGAGACTGACACCTTCCAAACTGTAAGCCCAACAAACCTTTGTCTTTGGCTGACACACATAGGAACAGAATTCCTTTCATTCAAACGCCAGTCATAAACTTAATACTACCCAGAGGTTTTGAAGCATGGACATCAGCTTGCCTAGAAATAACATTACATAACATTACACCATGACAACCCGCATAGTACCGGTAACAGGCAAACCTTGGTCTTCCCAGGTGCACCATGCTGATCGAATGCCAGTAAGGTGTCCCAACTTTAATTATTCCGCTATTCACTACAACTGAGGAACCTTAGAGACTACATGCTGTTACCCTTTGGTGCCTGTAGGGGACTGGGCTCTAGAAACCCTGAGAGTCACTCAGTCTACTGTGCTTCAATCCTGTGTGCACAATCACGCTGCGTTTGCTTGGAATATAAGCACACCTTTCTGTATGCTTTGCATCCTTTCTAGGTTACCGACAATACTGCATCAGCATAGACGCTGTTTCAAGAGCTGTCATTCTCTACGGCTTATAGAAGAAAGAAAAGAAAAGGTCTCCATCTTCAATGCTGCTGCAATCTCGAAAACTTCTTTTTGCTATCTAGTGGGCTGAATAAGATGTGCAAACTGTGACTAGAGGGGCCAACTGTGCATTCATGAGAGAGAATGGAGAGCCCCTTACCTCAGACAGCTAATTTTATGATTTTCTTTTATGTATTCAATAGCGTGGAATGTCTATTGGGATAGTTACTCTTCTGGAGCTTTAGGACACATAGAAGGAGAGTCTGGCAAGGCAGGAGGGTGAAGCAGCGAGCCCCACGTCTCTTCTTACATAAAGAATAAACACTCTGAGTAAGGATGACAGGGAGGCTGGATGGGGTATATGATTCAGAGCTGGGTTATTTGTCCAGCATTCGTCAGAGCCTGAGTTCCAACCCTAGACTCTCTCTCTCTCTTACACACACACACACACACACACACACACACACACACACAGGGAAAGAGAGAGAGAGAGAGAGAGATATCACGGTAGAGTGAAAAACTTAACTCTTTGCTCTCAAAGTTTCTTTGCAAAATGCAGGGCTACGGACTGCTGCATTTTCCCGAAAGCTTTGCAGCCATCAGCTCCCTTCCCTGATCCACAGGCATGCAGCCATCAGCATTCCCGTGTAGTGGCATTACATTTTTATTTTTAATAATTAAACCTTCCCTGAAGTTCAGAGAGCAAAACAGTCGCACTGGCCAGTCTTGCAGCCCAGGTGCATGCCTTTCATCTCAGCACTAGAGAGGAATATAAAACAGGAGGAGACAGCTCTCAGTCAGTCTCCTTCTGAGATTCCTGGAGGCAGGATCGCCATTTCTGACTGAGGTTGCGGTAAGAGCCAGTGGCTGGCTGCTTTGCCTTTCGGGTCTTCAGGTTGAACCCCAGTTTCTCTCTCTGAGTTTTTATGACTAGTGCTTCGCTCCTGTTTTAAGGGGGATGAACTCCAAGCTCTACAAAAAGCTGGCTTGGCTATGGTGAGGTCTGTTGTAGCCATGAATGTTACTCTACTAACCACTGACAAGACAATTCATTACCCCCATTGGACCCTGGGATATTACAACATCAAAGTAATAAAAAAAGAGGAACTTCCTCCACGGTTCTCTGTTATGACATCATTTCCCAAAATCTCATGAGAAAAGTAAACACAGACCTTCGCAAGGCTGGGAGCTGTAGTGTTTGCCGAAGGCTTTGTCTTTGGGAATGTCGGGGTAGAGGTACTTGAGAGGGTTCTCGGGGATGTTTTCGGCCACAATAACCTTGTAGTCTCGCAGAATGTCAGCGAACGGCAGAGCTGACAGCCGCCCTTTGTTGTAGGGTTCCACAGAGTGGAATCTCACTTCTCCTGAAAGCACAGAAACGGGAATATTCAGGGCATTCCTCCACCCGCATTATCTCCATAGCTAAAAGGTATGACCTTCTGGAGTCCCATCAGTGCAGACTGTACACGCAACAAAGCGTGCAACATGGGCTTTCAGAATTCACAGGTACCCGGCTCCAGGACAAGGGGACCAATTCCTAGCCAAGCCAGTGAGGGAGTGCCACGCCGTACCGTTTTCAGAGTGGTCCACCCAGGTGAAGGTGATCCCTCCAAGATGACTCTCACTGAATCTTAACAAGAATGTCCCGGGCATTTTATCCTTGAGCAGAAGCCGTTCCTTCTCTTTGCTTACAAAGCCCATGATGTACCTAAAATCAGAGCAAGGGGCAAGGCATAGTCTCATCTGATTGTCGTTACATCTCCACTGATTTCATTCACAAAGAATAGACCTAACACAAGCAATTGTACCGAACTCTGCTATCATTACACAACACATGCATATTATATAATACATGCATACAGTATAGATGCACAATATATTATTACAGGTTACTCTCGAAGAAGCTACAATTGTGTTTTCCCCCTAAACACACTTTAAAGAAGAAATGGGAAAAAATAATTTATTTATTTATTTTTTGAGACAGGTTTTCGCTGTAGCTTTGGAGCCTATCCTGGAACTAGCTCTTGTAGACCAGGCTGGCCTCGAACTCACAGAGATCCGCCTGCCTCTGCCTCCCCAGTGCTGCGATTAAAGGCGTGTGCCACCACCACCCAGCAAGGAAAAAAACTTAAAAATTAAAGCAGAAAAAAGCACTCATATGAAAAACAGAGCCTGTGAACCCACCCATCAATCCACAGGGGGAGAATGTGCTTTTTAATCAGGTCCAAAATTGCTTCCAGCCAGGTCCAGAAGGTAAACGGTTTGCCAGGCAGATGTTCCTATCAGGAAGAAGGCACACAAATGGATAAGGCCGGTGACATAAGCCGCACCAGGATAGAACCCACCCTAACTTTTACAAACGTTCCCTTTGAGCAGGACACTCTCATCCGGGAACTCCTTCAAAGCATCGGCAATGGCAGGGAGCTGCAGCCGCAGCCGCAAAAAGTAGCGCCAGAACACCCCATCCCCGTTTGTACCTTGCAGAACTTGGCCCAGGTGAGGTGACCGTCGCTGTAGTTAGCCTGGACTAAAGTGAAAGAAAAAAAATAAACAGAAAAATTTAACAACAGTGAGACTTTCTTTCTGTTCTGTGCCTGGCCTAGTCTCTCGCCCCGCGCCTTTGTAAGCGCGGACTTGCGATGGAGACGTGGGACCTTCCCGGTGCCTGAGAGGTTCAGTACCTAATAAACAGCTTTGGGAGGGAGGAGCCGGCGACGGCTTTAGGACACTCCACGAATGGGAGGATAAGCTGGCAGAGGGCGACCCACGGAAGCCACCCCAGGGAGGAGGGACAGTGGAGGGCAAGGGGCTGTGGGGACAGTAGAAGCAGCCAAAGGGTGGCGACTTGCCCACTAAAGTAAAAACAATGGGCTTGGAAATCACGTTGATAATAAGCAGCCAACAACTATTTTGATCTAGAACACTATTAATACTATCTAAATTCTAAGAAAACTCCATTTCTGCGGATAATTTGCTAAAGATCCTAAGACTGCAGTTGCAATCCATGCTAATCTATACTATTGCTAGTAACATACTAATATACTTAAAAGCATGAGCTACTTATTGGTGGTGCCAATATCTACCACCGCTGTTTATGAATTCAAGATAAAAATTTATATTCGGTAAGTGTTTAAATTGTCCAAAAGGCCAGATGTATCTGAATGCCGACTGATGAGCCAATGGGTGCGTGTGGCAAGCAAGCCAGCATCCCACCAGCCAGTCTGCTGCCCCAGATTCTGTGCAGATCAAACCTTGGCAGTAGTTTAACTGCAAACACATCCACACTCAATGTGAGCTCTCCCTGGTGCTGAGGGCGCTTGCTTGTCAAAATTCTGGTGTCTTTAAGAAATCAGGGCAAAGCTTAGACGGCAATTAGTACAGGAAGGGCTGCTGACGACATCTGTACAGTCTAGACAAAGAAGCTACCGTAATGTCAGGCATTCGGTCATTCTTGGTGTCTCTGAGTTTCTGTTCCATTTCCTGTACTCGGACCAGCATGCTCTAGCTGGTTAACGGCACCGTGAATGCTTCACAGTCTACACAGAGGAAGTGGCTTAAGAACTCCAGGGAACCAGAGTGTGAATGGAAGGGACTGGCTGCAGAGGAGCTCCGGTCGGGTGCACAGCGGGGCGCTGCTGCCTCCTAGCGGCAGGGTGAGGCTGCGACCTCTGAGCCCCAGCTTCCTCAAATCAGTACAATAAATATCATTAGCCCCAAGGAACAGTGCGAGGATTAAAAGGAGAAAAACACTTGGGCCTGTGTCTGCCGATACACAGTAGGCATTCAAGAAAGCGCGACACTCGCCAGAACTCTCAACGGGAGTAGCGTAATTGCTTTCTAACACTCTGGTGCCACAAAGAGGCAAACCCTCCGTGCCCGTGTGCCCTCACCTGTGAGCTTATCTGCCAACATGTTGAGCTGGTCTGAATTCAGGCCACGGCCGACGTAGGATGAAAACTGCCAGCTCATCACTTCCAGGAGTTGAGTCAGAGTGACAGACGGAGGATTATTGAAGAAAACCAAGTTCTGAAACAGAGTCACGGTGATGCTATCCGGGAATTGCATGGGGGAACACCACATTGAACACAGCGCTGCCCTGATTTAAAGTTGGGGTCGAGCGAAGTCAACCACACGGATTGTTAAGACTGAGCTTTTCCGTGCCCGTGTTCCGTAATATTAAGGAACTTGAGGATCCATCTTTGCCGATGGAATCAATTGCTATCTCCCAACATTCTCTGAACGACCAGCTCAACCAGCAATAAGCGTATACAGGTAGTTGTTGCCCGGCAGTAACCATACAGATAGCCTTCCCTGTGGACATGTTCAATTAGCTCATCGTGAAAGAGGGCACTGCATCCAGCAAAGATCACAAGACGGGAAGAGGAGGAGGAGAGCGGAAGGATTTCTGGGGACACTGTTCTCTCTTTGAGAAGCACATCTGGAGAAAGGCCAGGGAGGACAGTCTAATGAAGGCACGAGAGCTCGGAGTCTGAAGGGAGGCTGAGTTACTAAGTCAGCCTTAGCTGTTCGGTTTGGCTTCACGAGGAGGCTGTGACCTCCGTGTCCAGATCTTCACACTGGAGCCCAATTGTTCAGGAAGGGTGCATATGGCGGCCTCTGTGGCTTCCTAGCTGACGCTGCTAAGGACAAAGTGTGGTGCGGCCCTGAAGCTGGAGGACAGAGGCACCCCACTTTCCTCCCCTGCCCCATAGTTGGAAGAGATAAGTAGATGCATAGCTCTTAAAGGGAAGAGTCATGCAGTGCTAAGGGCTGTTCTTGGCCTTAAAGACCAGAGAACTGGCTGGTGGATTCTTTGACCCAAGAGGGACCTTAGCCCTTGGCAGCCTTCTTCTTTACAGTTGGTCTGTTCCAGATGTCTGGGCATCTGGGGATGAGGGTAGGGATGAGGGTGATGGGGCTAAGCCATTGATCTGTCTCAGATGCCCGAGCATCCAGGGATGAGGGTGAATAGGACTGAGCCGTTTTCTGCATGGTTCCCTTTAGGGAATATTGCATTAAAGGGAAAAGGCACTGAAAAGCTGCCCTATTTGCGATCATTTCTTAACACAGTCACCTAGGGGAAAGAAATCTTCTAGCAGAAACTGCTGGAAGAACTGCTTCTTCTGGAACTAAATGCTTGGCAACACAACATACAGTCTGTGGTTTTGTTTTCTCCGTCTTAAGAACAGAGCAAGAGGGAGTGTGAAATAATTTTTTTTTCCCATTCCCTGGTTTTCATTAAAAATGCTGGTTTTCATTTAAATCCTGGCACCTGTGACTAAAGGCCATTTGGGGCAAGTGCCTCAAAGAACCACCAGATGGCGCTAAAATCCAGCTTAAACTGAGAACGGCTCAGATCTATCCCTAACCAAGTACAAAATTTCTTCTGTCAGAGCTCAGGCAAGATTGATGAATATCCTGGCCACTTATTTGGAAAATAATTCTGTGCCTTTCTAGAAGAGACCGAGGAAAGGTGCCCAGAGGTTAAGGTAGTCAGATAGCAAGTTATGACAGCAATTAGAAAATTCTGGAGCCAGATGTTTCCCGGCAGAACCGGGACAGCCTTCGAATCCACAATGATGCAGTCTTGGGACCGCTCAGAGTTGAAATAGCCAGTGTCCGTCATGGTCACTGGTCAGAACTCTCGGAGTACAAGTCTGCAAGTACACACAACCGCCTCCCCCTTCATTATTCTCATTCGTTCTGAGGCAGGATCTTGCTATGTAGCCCGGGTTTGACTCGGATTTGCTTCAGATCACCGTCTTCCTGTCTGAGACCTTCACGGGCTTGGATTCTAGATGTGTGCCACCCTGCTCAATTCGAGCAGGACACCTTAAGCATGACCTAACAGGGCTTACGCACAGTTGAGAGGAAAAGTTAAATAGGACGAGAAACGGAGAGATAGGGGTCGGAAGTTTACCTGGCAATCGTTGGTCGACACATTGTACCAAATGATGGAAGCCCAAGCATTGGGCAGTTGGCTGACATTAGAAATCATCACCACGGGTAAGGAGTTGGTCTAGTTATATATATAAAAAAGAAGTTATTACAGGTTAACAAGTTAACAGCCCCCGTCTTCCTATCCTGCTACCCAGAAGCCACAAGAAGAACTTCTGAGCACACACAAGCTGGGGTGCAGGCAGAAAAGGAACAGGAACCCTGTCTGAGCGCCCGACACCAGCAAGCACGCAGTTTCCTCACTATCTTCCTTGACACTGAGAAATGACGGTACTTCCTCCTGCCACACAATGCCCCAAACACAACCCGAGTGGTTTCGGTGAAGATTTAGTCATTGCCATCCTTTGAAGCTGTGCTAAAGAATTTGACCTGAAATTTACTTGGGGGATGAGCCACTATGATCTGATCATGACCTGGTGCCTAATTAATGTCCATACTGGAAGTAGGAGTTCGTCTTTAAAGCTGGAGAGGGGCACTTATGGGAGTTGGAGCTGCCCCGCCTGCTTCAAGGAACAGTTAGTACTATTATCAATACGGTTTTCTTTTTTCTTTCTTTCCTTCCTTTCTTTCTTTCTTTCTTTCTTTCTTTCTTCCTTTTTTGTTTACTTATTTATTTATATTTGTTTATTTGTTATGTATACAGCATTTTGCCTGCATGGATGCAGAAAGCCACCAGAACACATTAGAGATGGTTGTGAGCCACCATGTGGTTACTGGGAATAGAACTCAGGACCTCTGGAAGAGCAGGCAATGCTCTTAACCACTGAGCCATCTCTCCAGCCCGTCAGTGCTGTTTTCTGTGGTACAAAGTAGACAGGCTTTCACAGACTAGCCTGGGAGGCTAATCACAGAACAGCAGCCCCTTCCTAATAGACAGGAAATGCCTGTGGCTAGAAATACCCCAGGAGCTGAGGAACCAAGCAGCTTGTGGAGGGTTAGCGGAAAGATGTGGAGGAGTTGACACACATTTGAATGCCTCAGACGAAGAGGGAAAGGCAGAATCTAAAACAACACACTCAAGCTGAATCACATGCAAGCTACCCAAAAATGGAGTGTTACTGACTTGTTACTGGCTTGTCTTTTCAACATATATGGGGGCTTTAGCATGTGCTAGGAATTGTGTACAGGCAATGGTGGACACGCAACCCATGGTGCCCTGACTTTAAAGAATTCATAATAAATGCGTTCAGTTTAGCCCTCCAAAGGCTCCTTTATTCTTAGAGTTCAAAGGCTACTGGTAGATGATCTAAGACAACAACCACCAGCATCCCCACCACTTTCTTCTGCTCATCACAGCAGAGAACTTTCCACGAGGTTTTAATACATAGCTCACATTTTTGAAAATAGATCACAATATCACACAGTCCAAGGATGGTTACTTCTCTGTATGCTTTCTGTTGAATATTCATAATTTGTAAAATAATAAAAATGTGGATAACAAATTAGTCCACATATATTGACTAGTCATGACTTTTTAAAAATCCTTTTTCTTTAACCAGAATGACATCTTAACTTTTTAGTGGATATTTGACACAGTGTTTTGTTTTTGGTTTTTTAAATTTTATTTTTTTATTTTTTAAATATTTATTTATTTATTATGTATGCAATATTCTGTTTGTGTGTATGCCTACAGGCCAGAAGAGGGCACCAGACCTCACTACAGATGGCTGTGAGCCACCATGTGGTTGCTGGGAATTGAACTCAGGACCTTTGGAAGAGCAGGCAATGCTCTTAACCTCTGAGCCATCTCTCCAGCCCCTGACACAGTGTTTTTCTAAATAATATGTGAAGAACATACAACAACCTAGAACGATTGAGCTCTCACTATAAATGCTGACTTGTTGCTGTGGAACTTACTAGTGAGGAGATGTTTCTTGAGACACTTACCTCCAAGTCAATGGTGAGGCCATAGAGGCATATCTGGGTCTCAAAGGCTATGGAGTGTAGCTCCTCCGTCACCATGTGGCAGCCCTATGGGGAAACAAAGGAGTTCCTTTCTTACAAAGGCAGCTTTTCTAGTAGAGATAGAAAAATTAACCAAGTAAATGTCATAAAAATCCATATTATTGTTTTAAAGTAAGGTAGTCAAAGAAATCTTTTCCACAAACCATGACTTTGAGTTTCCAAAACATGAATTTTAAAACTCTGGTATATTTTCAGTAGTTGAAATGCTAAGTCATTCCTTATTCTAATAAGCCACTCATTTATGTGTCTATAGAAAGACTTATAATCTCGTAATGAATTTGATTGGAAAAGATATCAAGACAGCTCTGGTTACAGATGGCATGCAAGATACAGACATTTTCTTCTCTTTGCTTTAGAAACTTTAATAAGATTTCGGTAAAACTAAGTTGTCATTCAGATTCCCAGACAGGGAATTCAGAGGCAGGGAAGTGTGGAAAAGTTGGAAGAAGTTCGAAGCCCCTAACTGCTCTGAGGTTGAAAGAGGGGCCCTAACAGGCCAGCCAAGAGCCCCGGCCCATGCAAGGACGTCTACACCACCCCTTGGCCTGCCCAAGCGACAAGAGGTTTTCTCTTCAGAGCGGATGAGTCAATGGAATTAGAAGACTTTGCGTTCTGGGTGGAAGACAACGTGTGGGCAGTGGGGCACTGCCAAGTGAAGGGAGAAGGAGTCTGTGGGAGCCTGTGCTGAAGTCTATTCCCTGTCTGCACTTGACATCAGGAACTACATTCGGATGTGGACCAGACCAAAGGCGAGCTCACAGTTATTGCCTTTCAGGAGCAGTTCCCCAAGAAACAGTCAGCTCCTAAGAGTTCATCCTTGATTCTGCAGACTCAACATACACAGAGGGCTTCTAAGTGGGTTCTAGGCTCAGTTGTGAAACGCCACGCTAATGATTATTAGACATTTGACAGTCTCTCACATGAAATACAGGTGTGAAACAAACAAACAAAAAACCTTCAAGCCAACCAACCAGACAAAAACCTCTGAAGAAAATGCAAAAAGCAAACCATTTTGTAAAAAAAGTAAAGACTGCATGCCAGGCTCAGTTTGCCCAACGATTAAATGGCAAACGACCCCATTGCGATGAGTGGACATTGCCACTAATCTGTGCCAGGCAACCGTATAAAGGGTCCAAGGATGCCAGCCACAATGGATATACAAAAAGTCATACCAACCCCCAACACTGTAAATTTCCAGAAACCAGAGATCAAATGGAAAGTCTAAGGGCCAGGAGTACAGGAATGAAGTACCACAATGGTTAAGAGCACCGACTGCTCTTCCAGGGGACCCGGGTTCAAATCTCAACACCCACTCGGCCGCTAACAACTGTCTATTACTCCAAGATCTGACACCCTCACACAGACATACGTGCAGGCAAAGCATCAATGCACATAAAATACAGATAAATACATTGTTTTAAAAAACAGAGAGAATCAGAACATGAAATAACTGGAATGCCATTTTTTAAAAAAATTACGAATAAAGTTATTTCTAGTACAGTATTCTATGCCTATCCAAATTAGCAGTCAAGAGTGCCCACTGAAAGCCTCCGGAAGCTGGTTCCTACAAACTAGTTTTCTTTCAAAATCAAAAGAAATAGCTAAGAAAAAGGAGGACATAGACCTATCCAGAATAACAGGGTAGAGATCTCTAGCAAAGAAATCAAAAGAACTTTAACATAGAAAAGAAAATCAAACCAAACAAACCAAGTAACAACTATACAACAGAATTGGAAGGTGAACGGGCAGGACAGGAGGGAGAAATGACAGCCCAAACCAGATGAAAACTCTATTTTTAACTGACAAAAAACTTCACTAATATGAGGATGGGGGGTATAGCTAGCCATGGAAGCAAAGGAAAAGAGAAACACTCAGATAGCCATGTTTGACTGTAAATGAGGGATCTTCTCATTCTGATGGAAAGTTTGGGGCTGCATGAGTGACAGGTCCTTAAATGAGGTAAGTAAAGACTCAAGCAACCACTATGTCCCGAGAAAACTGGAAGCAGTGCAAGAACGGGAATGCAATTGTAGGATGCAGCTTGACTCAGATGTTAAGTTTTATATAATTGCAATGACTTTGTATAATATTATGAAAGTAGAGGAAAATTTATATGTATCGATACTTCCCATAAAAAGTCACAACTTAATCCTGTACTCAGGAAACAATTTAGGAATTTAATAGGAAAAATTTAAAAACTACAAGAAATAAGAATTATATTCACAGCTCAAAAATGAATTCAAGAGAGAGAGGTTTAGGAATTGACTTGGAGAGAGATTGTCATTTTTTTTTTCTCTGATGGCAACCTACAGTACTTCACTCTGCTTACAACCAGCAGAACTGCCATCATTAGAAGCCTATTAGAAAAATGGGGTGTCTAGCTCAGGCGTTTTAGCAAGAACTGCAGGTAGAATTTGAAGCAATTATTCTTGATGTGGCCCATTAACATTTCATTTAGTCTCAAAAGGGACGTGGCCAGTTTTGTGATAGAAAACTCACACCATTCATAAAACAAGTCCGGGAACAAGTGAGAGAAATGGACTTGTCTAAACTTCAAAAGCCAGGGGAGTTCAGAGGACAGGGCCACCCTGGGAGAAGTGGAGGAATATCACCAAAGATCAACAGCAATTTCGAGCCCTCTGTATGCATTTTAAGATAGAAAATTAGCCAAATATGATGCGAATAAGAATTCCGTGAGAGAATCTAAGTGCTGCTGATCACGTTAAACGTAGGATGTGTTCATCTGGAGAAAGCACAGAGGGAAAATGGCCTCTCTTCCTCGGGCTGGAAGGTCGTCGCAGGCTTGATTGCCCGGATGTAGTGAGATGAACACACCGTGGCTTTTTGCTGTAGATTAACAGAAAACCTTGTGTAGCAAATACCGTTTGCAAATTCCTCGGGCAACAGCTCGCAGTATTCCTAGTGGGTGAACGTGACAACTAGCCCATTTCCCTTCCCCACACAGCACGGAAGTCTGTTCCTGTCTGTTGTGTGGGAGGGCCTGCTTTTGGTCCCGGCTGCCCTGCTAGCTTACACCCCAAATAATCACATAGAAATTGTATTCATTTAAACACCGCCTGGCCCATTATGTCTAGCCTCTTATTGGCTAACTCTCACATCTTGATTTAACCCATTTCTAATAATCTGTATAACACCACGAGGTCATGGCTTACCGGGAAAGATTCAGCATGTCTGACCTGGCAGCTCCATGGCTGCTCTCTGTCTGTCCTTCTTCCCAGCATTCAGTTCTGTCTACTCTGCCTACCTAAGTGCTGCCCTACCAAAAGGCCAAGGCAGTTTCTTTATTCAACCAATGAAAGCAACACATAGACAGAAGGACCTCTCACACCATTTGTGATCTAGGCAGGACAGAAACCCCAACGAGTAGGCTCTCATGCTACAGCCATCCTTTTGGTTGAGCGTAAGAGAAAAACCTCCCTAACGATGAGGAAAGACACTTACGTTGTACAAGCACACCACCAAGATGACTGGGGAACCTAAATTTTCATTGGATGTTCACAAAGGGGTGGTCTTCTTCTTCTTTTTTTTTTTATCCAGTTCAATGTTAGATAAGCATGTGCAAATTATTTGAGAGGACTCCTGCAAGCATGCAATTGAAAGCCCAATACTAGCATGTTTAAATATTTAATAACCATAAACCAAGTTAACAAACTGTTACAATATGGCCTAGCCTCCTACTCTGACATACAGCCGTCACCTAACTTAACTGATTAATTAGTTCAGCACCGCAGAGCTGTTTACACCTGGAGGGGCAGGAAAGCCCTGCCTCCCAGCCCGCCCACCGCAGGAAAACCCTGCCTCCCAGCCCGCCCACCGCAGGAAAACCCTGCCTCGCAGCCCGCCCACCCCATTTTGGTAGGCAGCTTAATTCATACGTGTAAGCATGCATGTAATGGCTCATTATGGATATTTTCCTCCTCTTTTTAAAAGTTGTGACACATGTGTTCAGCATCCAAATGTAGGTCTTGGAATACACACACACACACACATACACACACACACACGTATTTGGGAGGCAGCGGTGCTAGGGACATGGAGGGGTAGGAGGGAGAGGGGAAATGGCGTTATTATATTCTTATTTTAAAAATGATAGTAGTAGAAAGAAAGCTTCTGCAACCAGGGCAATGACCGCCAGAGTTGTCCATTAACTTTGAGGAAAATTTCATGCTTTAGGGCTTTGTTTTTTAAATCTGGATGACAAGAACGCTTCTTGGTGATTCTAATCAATTTATGTTGTTCACTTGAAATCCCCTGCTCCGATAGGATGCACACTGACATCAAATTATGGCAGTGAGGCCAAAAGCCAATACACAGGACTGAATAAGAAGTCTGACAGAGCGATGCAGCATTAATTTCCCACCCTTTCATGGCCATCAAGCAAAGCCTCCATTATTTTGCCGATGTAGTCCAAGCCATACACTAGGCAGTTTCATGGTCCTGGAGTCGATCCCTCAGTCTGTCCTTACTGCTCTTGCTGCCGACTGTCCAGTACTGCATCCTGAAAACCCAGCCAATATGAACCAATGCTTAAATCCTCCAGGAAGAAGACATGGCTGTTTGTTCCTCTATGTTTGCTTGTCTGATTGCTTGAGATGGGTGCCCTGTGGTCTAGGCTGGCTTCCAATGTGCTGTGAGCTGAGGAACTAAGACCCTGAAGTCTTCTGCTGGTCCTTCTTTCTGCTTTGGAGTATTGAGGTTACAGGTGTGCACCCCAAGTCCAGGTCTTTGCTTGTTTAATAAGCTAGAACCTACGTAACGGCACAGGCAAAACTGCAGTACTTAGGGAAACAATCTTTTTAGCAAATATTTATCTGTCACAAAATATTTATCTATCTTAAAAACGAAAAGAAAACTAAGAACTGGCTTGGATGCCGGCAAATAATGCGCGGAGAGAGCTAAACGGTACAAACACGGGACAGTCCATGAGCGGTGAGCGCGAACGTTACAATCATGGGAGAGCCCATGAGCGGAGAACGCTAATGGGACAATCACGGGAGAGCCCAAGAGCAGAGCGCTAAGGTACAATCATGGGAGAGCCCACAGACACAGACTCACGTGAATGAAAGCTTTCTCAGCAAGTACGTATGATGCGGATACTGAATGGATGCTGCTGCACTCAGAGAGGGCAGGGGTAGGGAAAGAGGCTTCTGTCTCTCTTCTGTAAGGACTTGGGAGAAAGGTCATTTCCGGGGAATGCTTCTTTCATGGACTTAGAGAGGTAGCTTCAGAGTCTGGTCACCCGAGAGATGACAAGAATCATTTTATTTGTTTACTTTGGGTTATTGCTTGCCGACAGATGGGGGTGTGCCCTGCATCCCATGAAAGAGGGCATGCCTTCAGCTAAGGATGTGACACATGGGTGGGCAGAGAAGGACAAGGATCTACAGTTGTTTCAAGTCACTGCATGCGAGTTCCCCATAGAGCAGGCGGCACGGAATCCTGATCTGTAAGAACCACGGCCAACCTCGGCCCATTGTCACCCATAACTAACTCACACATCCTCCTCCCTGGGTCCGGTCAAAAGAAGTGTAGGATAACATTAGCCATATCTGGAGAAAAGGGAATGGAGAGGAAGAAAGTGGCTTGCCCAAGTTATCTCTCCCATGAGAAGTGGAGCGCAAACCAAGGCTGTTTTCAAATTCCCCAGAGGCACAGCAGAGAAGCAAAGGGGAGCCCAAAAGGTAAAAGGTATTAACATTTCCTAAGGAAGTGCTCTGCTAATCTCCTTCCAGTCTTGGCAAGGAGCCTCTGCCGATGGCTCCTGTTTCTGCACTAGCTAGCCGGTGATGTGTGAAGTGGGGTAGAAGGAGGAGGTCCTTCACCCTCCCAGAGACTGTAAGATCCCAGAAAGATGCACCCGAGAAGGATGGGCAGCACAGACTACCAGGGTTTAATGTGGGTCCCTGCCATTAACCGCCTGTGCAAACGCCAGCCGAGTTCAGCTCCCTTAACTGGAAGGCATATGCTACCCACCTCACAGCGCTAGCCCGAATACCCCGTTCACAGTATTTACCAGGAGGAACTGTTAAACGATTTCTCAGCAGGGTATGCACACTTGCTGCAGGTGCTCTTAGATAAGCAATAGCAACCTTTGAAGCCCGAGAATGAGGTCATGGGATCCTTGCTTCCTGTCTTCCTAAAACGTGCCACTACGATTGCTGGACCCGTGGCTCTATGAACGCCACCTCCTGCCTGCTATTCTACTTCCCCTAGCATTCCTTTGGTCACTTACTTACCCAGCACTCCCCCCCCCCCCGGGCTGGATCATCTTTCTCCAGGTATTTCCTAGCAGTCAACTGTTTCTTGATTCTTGAGCACACAAAACGGCATTGGAGCCTGTGACTTGGTCTAAATGTACCTCGGCGTCATACCAAGAGGCTGTCAATAGGGGGAGCTCAAGGAATATCTCAAACAACAGCCCTGATTTGGCAAACTTAAAAAAGAAACAAAGTCATTGTCTGGCTCTGTGATTCTGTTATCAGCTGGAAAACAAGAGGACATAAATTCACAGCAATATAAGTAGACCGGGCTAATAAGACAGTGCATGCATCTTCGATAGAGGAGGATGTCTCTAAGGAAATTCCAGTACAGATTTTTGATTTCACGTTGATCAAGATGACAATGTACCGCGGTAGTTGAGCGATTTAGAGGTATTCCCCTTGGATCTGTTTTGCTTAAGAAAAGTACAGGATAATTGTGCTTGGTTTGTTCGGATTCGCAAACAACAACATTCAGGGACGCCACGCCGAATGAAATATCACAACTATGTTCACAATTCCACCGAGGTGGGCATAATGGGCTTCTGCTTGTAACAGCAGTTCAGGGAACTCAGGAAACCCTTCAGTCGGGGGCGGGGAGTCCCCCTAACTTATTTGTTTTGCTCGAGCCCTCAAACTCAAAGGCTCTGGTCCTGAGGGTCACTGGGAGGAAAAACCTGCTTGTGGCTCTGCCTTAAGCAGGGACTGTCCTTGAGGGGCCATGGGCTATGGCGATTTCTAAGAGAGGATGAAAAAGCTCATAGCGGGGACCAGGAGTGGATGTCAGGCCTGGGGCATGGGATAGACTGCCACGCCATGCTGGTTTCTACAGCTCTTCCAGAGGATTCAGATGTATTTGTCCTAACAGCTGTGATTTAACGGCTCGATGACTGGACCTGTCCAGACTGGACAGTCAGACTCTTAATAGCTGGACAGCTGCACCGAGGACTCAGGGGTCACCTCAGCAGCATCTCCAGCATCTCCAGCATCTCCAGCATCTCCAGCATCTCTGGGCAGGGTGTGTCAGGTGTCATCTCCTCTCAGGAAATAAAGAGTACACTATTTCTCCACCATATTATTCCAAAGGTGACAGTGATCAGTCACTGTAGTAAGGAGCGGCTTAACCCCCAAAATAATACCACAGAAACTGTATTCATTTAAACAAGGCCTGGCCCATTAGTTCTAGCCTCTCATTGGCTAACTCTTACATATTTGTTTAACCCATCTCCATTAATGTGTATTGCTACTTGACTGTGCATGAGTCTAACCAGTGTCTGTCTCGGAGAGGAGAAGCATGGTGTCTGCCACACTTCCCTTCCTCCCAGCATTCTGTTCTGTCTACCCCGCCCACCTATGGGCTGCCCTATCAAAAGGCCAAGACAACTTCTTTATTGAACCAATGAAGTCAACACAAATACAGAAGGACCTCCTACACCAAGTCACCGTTAAGAGCGTGGACTCGGACTTAGCTTTTCCATACTCAAACATGGAGATAAAAAATATAATGCCGAATTTTTCAGGACAACAGGACTCAGCCAATCTATTGACTGGAATGTTTGTCCAGTTCCTTTGGTGAAATGTAAACTTTACAGACCAAAGGAACTGATGCTACACAGTGGAAGAATTACTTTTCAGCTATGATTTTCATGAGATGTGGCATGATTTTTGACACTTGCTTCACATCTGTGGGAGAACAAAGGCTTTTAAGATAGTGTACAGTGATGGAAGGCTAATTAAAGAAATCGCGACACCTTTATAAAATATAATACAATGAAACCATTTAAATCATGGCCTTCAAATGGTAAGCTGTTCACCATGTGTGGCTATGTCAATCAAAGGGTTATGAAATAATGCCTGTGCTACAGTTTGTTTTTGAGACAAGATTTCTCTGTGCAGCCCTGGCTGTCCTGGAACGCACTCTGTAGATGAGGCTGGTCTTGAGCTCAGAGATCTTGCCTTCGCCTCCCAAGTGCTGGGATTAACGGTGTGTGCCACCGCTGCCCAGCTGACATATTTTTGAGGCACAGAAGATTAGACTGGTGTACCCAGAAGGTTAATGTTTTCTCTGCAGGGTGGTATGATGTGTTATTTTAATTTTAGCCTCCAAAAAATCCCCACATTATCTGTAGTGATCAAGCTTTATGTTTATAATCAGGGAAACTTAAGGGAAAGATAGATATAAAATTAAGCAGTTTAAGAGAGTTGAGGAAACACCGTTACAGGATTGTTTCCCAGAAAAATTCCCCAAGAGTTCACATTTCCTACCTCATTTCCTTTACTTCCAGCACTGGACTTCATTTCCTTCGGTTGCTGTGTGAAAGAAAATGGCAGCGTTTAGAAGGAGGATTGTTATCAGCTGGGTATCAAGCTGGCCACACCCACTAACTACAGTCAGCACCGTCCCAGCCGTAGTCCTGCTTCCTGAGCAACAACTCTTGCTCTCTCGCTCCCTGAAACCTTACGTTTCTGCCTAGACCCAACAGACGCTAGTACAGAAAACTGAACCTTATCATACATTTGTCTGTGCAGATGTCTTTTGCTAACCAGTTTTGTGTTTTGGAAAGCAGACCCTTCAGGCTGGGGTGGTAGCATCCCATATTCTGGATGCTGGCTAAGTGTTAATAAACCAGACAAACAGCGGGTGGCAAGAAAGGCAATAGGGCCTTTGGAAATCTAACAACTATCACACACACACACACACACACACACACACAGAGAGAGAGAGAGAGAGAGACAGAGACAGAGAGAGACAGAGACAGAGACAGAGAGAGAGAGAGAGAGAGAGAGAGAGAGAGGAGACAGGAAGAGAACTCTAGGTCAAGAGGAAGTGGTTAACAGGAGAAGCAGCAGAATGGGGTGGGGGAGCCAGAGCTTTCTAGACAATGCCAAGGCAGATGGTACGAGGGTGTGTTGGGACAACCCAAGAGCAGCCCAAGTTGTCCTGAAATGAAAGTGCTTTCTGCCACACCTTATTGGGTGTCACTTCCTGAGGGACTTTAAAAAAAAATGAAACCAGAGCAGCTCTGCCTTGAACACAGATCTCTGCAGTTGTCACGGTCAGCCTTGGCCAGCCACCGTGAATGGCGGCAGCTCTGAGCTGCAGTTCTTCAGAACTCCCCGTCGGGGTTCCTGCTCCAAGTCCTTTCTGCTGTCTGAACTTTTCAATGCTGGCAGCTTGCGTACCATATTGAGAAGAAAGTAAGAAATTAGCTAAGAAACTTCTTACTGTTGACAGGGGATACATGAAGTAAGGAACTATGTAAAATAAGAAAACGATTACGGAAGAAACTATGGTCTTCCAGTTCTTCCAGTAAGAAACGCTCACGGAAGGAGCCCAGTAAAATACTCTGAATTACGTAACCTGTTGGCAAAGCTTTGGGCGGTGTGTGTGTGGCTGGGTGGCGGGCCATGCCTGCGCCATCTTATTTGCTACTTACCAAATGTCTAAATTCTACGGAGAGACTCCCATTGGAGGATTCCTCGATGGACATGGCTTTGACTTGGGTCCCACAAAGCACAAATCTTCTATTGCTAGAGGGAAAATGCCTTTAAAAAAGGTTTTGGGCCAACAAATACTTAAGATAATTTTTTTAAAAAAAAAAATCTGCCAAGTAAATATCTTACCTCAGAGTTGAGACATTCCTGTAAAAGAAAGAAGAGTCTTTCAAGTGAGCTGGTTATTAGACCCGGGAAGGTATTTCTAGACTACTACCTCTTTATGTCCCACTACAAGGAGCGTCATCTGAGTCTTCATAGTTACATAACGCTTGAACTTGAAATCGAGTATTTGCAGTGGTAAGGAAAGTGAGAGAAATAGATATACAAGTTCAAAATGATTATGTAAGAATTAAAAAAAAATCTGTCATTGCCATATTTGAAATGGAATTAGAAATCTTACTTGTCAATGGATGCCTTCACCTTCACTTGGTAGTTGAGCTCTGGTAATTTTATTAGTAGTCTGCAAAGAAATGGGAAAAAAGAATCAAAGACAGAAATTTAGAAGTGGTAAACATTTTTCTTTCTTCTTTCTCTTCCTTCCTTCCTTCCTTCCTTCCTTCCTTTCTCTTTCTCTTTCTTTTTTCCTTTTTTCCTTTCTTTCTTTCTTTCTTTCTTTCTTTCTTTCCTTCTTTCTTTCTTTCCCTGTCTCTTCCTTCCTTCCTTCCTTCCTTCTCTTTTTTTTTGTTTTTTAGAGACAGGGTTTCTCTGTGTAGCCCTAGCTGTCCTGGAACTAGCTCTTGTAGACCAGGTTGACTCTGAGCTCACAGAGATTCGCTTGCCTCATCCTCCGAAGTGCTGGAATTAAAGATGTGCACCACCACCGCCCAGCGTAAAAGCTTTTTCTACATTTAAATAACTAAACATATTTCTAGCATAGACACATGAACAAAATATTATCTCCACCTATAGGTTGATGTGCTTTAAAATATAAAAACTTCTTGAGTTCGTTCTGTGACTCTACGGGCACCAGTCAACGTCATTACTGACAAACACCAATGTTTGCACATTTTCTCAGTTGACAGGTGCTAGCTAGATACATTGGTCTGTTCAGAAAAACAGCTGTATATTTAGGCTGAAATCTGAACCATATATATTTAAGAAAGATTCTTTGCAAGTCTATTAACACAATTTCATCTTCTCCCCGTACCATGAAAGCAAATGTCTTGTAAACCTAGCAAAACCAAATAATTTTGAAAATTTTGATGACGAAAACATTGAGGAAGACAAAACTTCTAAAATGAATACAGAAATATCCCAGTTAAATTATACTTGTAATTTCAAACATAGTCATATATTTTTCATAGTGGCAAACATACTTGTAACTAAAACAGATCTAACTTCAAACAAAGGCACAATTCAAGCTCAGTAAGAATTCCCGGCGTTCCCTTCTTTTGATGTTGGCTCTTCTTTTGCTCCTCCACCCCAAATCCCCAAAGTATCCATGATGTGCTTCTGTCTGTGCGTTCCTTGCACCTGCAGATACATTCACTCATTCACTTGCTCATTCATTCATGTATGCAAGCATTCATCCCAAACCTACATTCATTCAATATATACCTAACTCCTCGAATATTAAATAGAGACTCAGATATCTGAAAACTCACGTAGCAAAACTTGACTAAAGTAGGAAGGTAGGCATGGGCATGTGTGAAAGAAAAGAATCCAGCCAAGTGACGGGATTTATAGAATATGAAGGTAATGCATTAGAAGGAGAGACACAAAACCAGAGCTCATCAAGAGCACAAGCAAAGACGTGTGCACAGCGAAGCAAAGGGTCCTTAAATGGGTTGCGCAAGATTGGCTCCAGGGCGGAGTATGTTAAGTGCAAAGTCAGTAGTAGATGGCGAAGGGTGTGTGTGCTCTCGTGAACATGGACATAGATTTTTCCTTTCCATCTTCCTCCTTATCTGTTCCAGAAAAGGTTTGATCCACTGTAAAGTGCATATGGCTGACCCCAGAGCAGTGGTTTTTAGACTGTGGGTCATGACCCCTTTGGGATCACCTATCAGATATTTACAGTAGGATTCATAACAGCAGCAAAGTCACAGTTATGAAGTGGCAACAAAAGTAAGTTTATGATTGGGGGTCACCCCAGCACGAGGAATTGGATTAAAGGGTTGCAGCATTAGGAAGGTCGAGAACCACTGCCCTAGAGTCTCCCGTGTGTCACCCTCTCTTTGGAACAGGAGAGCACAAAGCTGTGGCAGAGAGACACTTTAGAGGGAAGATTTGGACGGTCTAGCAAGAGAGTCCGTCCAAAGTTCAGGGGAGAAGATGAGGACCCAGCGGTCTGAGGAGGTAGACAGGATACCCACTCCAGGATGGAAGGCTATGCTCAGGAATCATTTCAAACAAAGGCTAAGTACTGCCTGCTCGGGGCTTTTCCTCTCAGCATGTCTTTCGGACAGCCCCTATTATCTCCTAATTTTCTCTTCCCGCATTTCCAACTTCCTCGTCATCTACATGGATGTAAAAGTAGTCTGTCCACCACGTCTCCATCCTGATTCCCTCCTCACCGTCTCCCGGCTTTCCTGGGGGTAGGGAGACGAGGAAAGAACAACTCTTAAGAATGATATTTTCAAAAGAAATCTGGCAAAATACACAGAAAAAAATTGACTAGGAGGGTTAATTGGGGGTTAACCCTCCTAGCCAAAGTTTGAAAGGCAAACTGAAAAGTGCCTTCCTTTTAAAAACTGGGTTCCAGCGCCCCCATGTGATCAACAGTCCTGCCATATAGAACACTCAGTTGTTCTCCACCATGGGATCAACAGAGGCATCTTAATTGACGCAGCATTCCTTTTGATTAGGAATTCTGCAGCTCCAGGCCTGGAGTTGAAGGCTCAACAAATGTCTTTGAAAGCAAGACCGAAACACCTTGTCTTACGTTTACTTGGGAAAACTTAGGTTTTGGTTGCTTATAAATATGTATCAAATATACAACGAAAGTTCCGCGAAAATCATCTAAGCCTATGTGTTCCCTAAATTAGGTGCTCGGCAAGGATACACTGAGGACCGTGGTGCTCAAAGTTTTGTGGGAAGCACATTTACTGGGTCATCACAGGGAAGCATGCGGCATCCGTTTCCTGGACATCGCGTCTCCCACCGTTTGTCCCCCATCTGCTTTGCCATTCTGTTTCTCTAGGCTCCACTCTGTGTCCGAACAGAGTCAGCCACGATCTCTGTGTGTCCAGTCTGCTACAGTTCTCCCCTTCTGTCTGTCTTTCCCGTCTTTCCTCACGTTAACCTTTTTCAGCAATTAATCCCAGAGTGCCTGATATGATGAACGCATACGTTCATGCTAAGATCCCTCATGTCTCCATTAATAACCCACGTTGTCATGTTCTTGACAAGTAAACTCTCGTCAGAACTCCCCTGCGGGGATTTGCCAGAGTCCAGCCTGGGCTCTCAGCAGGGTCTGGACGAGGAAGGGCTGAACGGAAGGTGCCTTCCTTAGCAGTGGTTGTCGCGCCGGAGATATAAAAGAACGGGCTGTGCTCCACCTACCTCAGTTTGGTGGTGAACTGGATGAGGGTTTTAAGGACCATCGGCCTCTGAGGGTGTGTCGGCATGCATGGCTGTCGCTCAACCACAAACGAGCTAGGTGGGAAGGAAAGACCGTTTGAAAAGGTTGAAAATGTAAACCACAGAGAAACGGGATGCGATTCTTTTCCCACAAAGCCCGAACTTCTTACACCTGGAAGAGGCTGACGCCCCCATCCCACTCCAGTCTCCCCAGTAGCTTCTCAAGTCGTTGGTGTAAAAACGACAGGGAAAAGGTCTGAAGGTCATCCCTAATGAACAACCGCAAATCTTAATTACCCGTTACGGACTCAATAAACATCCATGTTTATCCCACATGACAAAAGCGAGACTACGTTTCATGCCGTTTTGGACTGAGTGTTGCGAGTTCAGGAAAAATTAGGATATTTTTCACCAGTGAACTTCCACAAAATGCTCCCCACCCTCGTTTCGTGGATGCGCTCGCAGGAAGAAACCCTTCGTCTTGTCTCAAATGTGAAAACTGAGTGGGAGGTGGGTGATGCCCTCGATTACTGTGTGGGAAACTGAGTCCGCTGCCGGGAGACACGCTGCCGATTAAGGAGCCAAGTGCGGAAATGCGGTTGTGGGGCTCTCTGGGCTGCATCCCGGGGTCCCTACCACTCTTCCCCACTCTGCCCCATGCCCAGCGAGTGTTACGGTCACAGCGAGCCAGCGAGCGATTCACTTACTTCTTGAAAAGGTTGTAGATCAGGAAGGTGGCTCTCTCCAGCAGGTGTGCTCTCTGGGCGGGGATGGGGTCGCCTTCGTAAGTCATCTTGGACGATTGCTCCTCGAGTTTCTCCAGTTGTCTTCTGAGTTGGAAGAGACTTTCTGCCAACAGGGTAAAGCTATTGAACAGCAAATGACAGGCGTTTGTCCCCACTCAGTGACCGAGCTGGTTCAGCAACTAAATAATCAATGATTAAGTGATTGGATCCAAGAAATCTCTTAATTCCGATCATGATTTCATTGTCTTTCCCTCAACCTTCTCTTCTCGAAGATGTATCGTGTTAGATATCTTCTTATTTGGGCTTTTAATTTACAGACATCCTTTATGAAATCGTGTCAACACCTGGAGCCAAATCCCTCTTAATTGGCCTTCGGACCCTGTTAAGTGTGCCTGTGAAGAATTTGGAGACAGACCAGTTTAAAGTGTAGGGTAGAAGACGTGGAGACTGTGGTGTGGAAATCCACCTCCCTCCCCCGCTGCACACATTTGTCCCTGAGTTTTAGTGGGCAGCGGTGACTGAACCATTCCGGCAGAAGTTACACCGTGTTTGGGAATGTTTGCTTCTGAGATCCAAGTGGAGCTGATCCTTTCTTAGAGATGGAGGTGAGGATTAGGTCAGCTAGAGAAGGCTGAGAAAGACTGGGACAGACTAGGAAGAAGAGGGGGCCCCAGCTTGAGAAGCAGAGTAGTCCCAACTGTCCTTATAGAACTCCGTCTCTTAAGCGTTAGACAGAAGGGACCAGGGGAGGAGCTGTGGCCCCTGCTGGGTTTCACTGTAGGCACCATGGCTGGGGTCTTCATTGCTCCCTTTGTTGCTTGTCTTGTTCTTACAGCAGATTTCTCTGGATTTAGAGAACTGAGGAAAATCAGTATATTTTGAAACGAGTGCACGCACGTCTTTACTTCTCTTGAGAGGTAAGCCTGAACAAGCAGGAGCATGACAGACTTCCATTTTCTGGAATTATCCCTCAGAAAGCAATTTTGAAATTTTAACGGAACAATTCGGTTTCTTTGTGTGTTTTTCTATTGCTCTCTCAGACAGTCTTATTTTCTGTTGGTGAGTCGGAAAACTTGTATCAACATTTTATCTTGTAAAAAGGTAGTATCTACATTTAATAGCGGGTCTGTGTTTTAAGTGGAGACGCCTTGTTGTTGACTGTTAAAGATTATGTCACTTGAAATGGTGTTATACTTTTATAGAGGGCCTTGTTCTGCATTTGCGGCTCCCCTGAGATGGAGGTGTGTGCCGCTCTGCCTAGCTGAACTTTCTTTTTAACTGGCCAGCAAACCTTGTGTATATTTGTGGTTTTACACATGGTGTTCTGCGATATTTGTATACCGAAGGATGGCCAAATTGAAACTAAAACATGTGTATTGTCTCTCACAACCTCCTTCTTGTAAGAACAGAAAATTGACTTAGTAATTTTCAAGTTTATAAGCTATTTCCAACTACGGTCATGATGCGTGTTCGATTTCCCAATTCTTTCCAACTGAAAGTCTGCAACCCTGACCAACATCCTTAACAAAGTGAATGTGTTTGAAAGCATAAATCTAAATGTTTAACTCATATCATAAGACACACATTTTAAAAAGTTGGGTTTTTTTTTAAAGATTTTTGAAGCTATTTTTTTCTTACATCTGTGCAGACAATGCATTGTTGGCTTCAAACCACTCATTTGAGTTTTTTAAGCTATCAATGTCTGAATACTGAGGAATTCTTATGCATGGGAGATGCTTCCTTTGCCTCTGTGCTTGGTCTAACCCGTGCACTTGTTCGCTGAACACCCCAAGCCTGCACTTCCTGTGGTTTTCACTAGAACTGAAGTCAATGGCTTTACCAGTTCTGAAGCTGGTCCAGCCCACTGTGGAGCGGGCCGCCGATGCAAGCGATCTGCTGCCGCCTTTTCCAGTCCTGCAGCTCCTCTATCAACAGGTTGTTCATCAGCAGGTCCGACTCGTTCACGATCTGTGTCATCTTACTGAGGGCTTCCTAAAACCAGAGGCGGGGAAAGAGACGCACAGAACGACGCCCAGGTTACGCTTCTGCTGACAAACCATACTGACCTGAGAGATGAAGGCTTGATGAGAATTAGCCAAACACTGGATCGAGACCAGCTCCTACTTGGTCCAGCATTGCCTTTTCAAATGTTAAAGTCTTTACAACTGGGTAGTGTCACAAGAATTGTGGCCACAGTAGACATTCCCAAGTTTCAATTTCCGTGTGTCCAACGGAAACTTCCGTGCCAATACTGAATCTTGTTGTCCTACACAGGAGTTTGAAGAGTTGCTTGTTCTACTTGTTTATGTGTGTACAGGTTGTGTGTCCGCATGTACGTCCAGACGGTGCGTGTGTGTAGTGCCTACCGAAGCCAGAAGAGGTATCGGATCCTCTAGAGGTGGAGTTTCAGTTGGTGATGAGCTACAGTGTGGGTTCTGGGAATGGAATCTGCTCCCTCTAGAGAGCAGTCGGTGCTCTGAACCTGGGAGCCATTTCTCCAGTACCTGTTTCTACGTTTGTTTGTTTTTTAAAAAAATGAATGCAATTATCCATCTATTTGCAAATACGCTGATTAAAACGCGTGTCTTTCCGTGTTACTTTTTCTGCAGACTTTACTTGTGCTCGTGGAGACATCACGAAGTAACTTTCTAGGCATAGGGATCAAGAAACGGAGTTTCTCTTAAGTTTTCAACAACACTGCGAGCTCAAGCAAAGCATTTGCCTTGCTATAACTTAGTTTTCTCGTATATGTAACTGGGTGGATGAGCTCAGTTATTTTCAGAGTTCCTTCTCAAATTCTGTTTTTCAAACAAAATAAGATGGTACATGTAGAATGTAAGCAGATTTTCCATAAAAGCCTTACATTTGGATTAATTCCTTGCACACGTGCAATATATAAATATTCCTAGTTATATTTATAATCAATTTAAGGTGAAATAAACTTATATGGAGTCATGTAAGTTCATTCACCAAAAAGTAATTGCTTAGAAATGAACTACTGATTTAACAGTTATTGGCTAAATACCAACGGCATAGCCTTTTAAAGACAGGAAGAAAATTGAAATAAGAATATTTAATCTCGGGGCTGGAGAGATGGCTCAGTGGTTAAGAGCATTGCCTGTTTTTCCAAGGGTCCTGAGTTCAGTTCCCAGCAACCACATGGTGGCTCACAACCATCTGTAATCAGGTCTGGTGCCCTCTTCTGGTCTGCAGACATACACACAGACAGAATATTATATACTAAATAAATAAATAAATATAAAAAAAGTTGCTTGTTCTTTAAAAAAAAAAGAAAAAAAAAGAATATTTAATCTCTTGAAAATGTTTCATTGAGTCAAAAAATATTTATGCTCGGTTGCCAACAAACGACTCTTAAGTTTGGAAGATTTCATAAATAGGAAAATATTTAACAATCTCATCCTCAGACTAAAATATAGAACATAGTATTTTTTCCAATAAAGTTTTAAGTCATTGAGCAATTTTTAATTATAAATGTGTAGTGTAACCCACTTCAGCATGCTGCACAGTAAACAACAAAACATGGTACACCTTCTGCCTTAAGTTAATGATACCTCCGGCAGTGTTTCACAGGCCAGGGGTGTGGGGTGCAGGATGGCTACCCAAGCAGACTCAGTCAGGGAGGACAGTTTCTGGAAACACCACCTTATTTTCATTCAGTGTAAATGGAACTGATAAAAACTGAGGCCTTGGTTATTTTCAGTAGGATGAGACTTAGGAAAAGAAAGGCAGGCAAAATGGCCGATTAAAATTCTCCACCAACCAACCTTTCTCTTGAAGTCCAGGCTGTTAAGCATTTCTTGCAGTGTCAACACTTCCTGGTTCATTAGAATGCTGTTCTTCTCCCCGTGATCTGCAAAGGAAAGGAAACCAGGTTCAGAATGCTCAACTCTGGGCAAGCCTTTTATCCCCCAAAGCCAAACCCATCTCAGCCCAGTTCCACACCAGCCCTGGGCAGGACCAGGGACTGCCGTAGACAACATGGAAGGCCATCTGGGAACGTTCTCATCCTGCCAGGAAGGATTCCAGCCAAGCGTGCACAGGGACCTTTATCTACATGTCAGAAGGAGGATGCTCTTCACCTGGTACTTGGTTTTTGGTGGTGGACAAAGGAAGGTCTAGTAAGGGCTTGTTTTACTGGTTCTGCCTGAACTAAGGAAAAAATGCTGGTTAGATATAAGAAAAGGGGGATTCCTTGTGCTCGTGATTAAATCATGAGACTCTTTCTATGGCCTCTATCCAACTCTCCCCAGTCCCTTCATTCTCTGCCTGGGAGAGTTAGTTAGTCTTAATGAACTTACAAGAACTAGTAAAACTAAAATATCTACTTTTCCATTTTACAAAATGGACTAGCCTCACAGCAGAACCGGTCAGGGAAAAGTACAGAAAATGATCCAAAATGAAAAATCATTTAGCCCCTTGAATGGGAAGATAGGCCATAAACCAATACCATACTTCTTAGTTTGAATATTGGTACACAGTAAGTGCGGAGGGCTGGGGATGCTTATCTTTAAAAAAAAAAAAAAGCCGACAAAACTACTGTTCCAAATTTCTCTTCAAATATCGCTAATCTTCAGGATGTTATTTCTGGTTTTAACAGCTCACAAATTCTCCATTTCTTCGATGCTAATCACAGTAAAATGTTGTGTGTATATTGCTCTATCTACTGAAACTACATCAGCCAATACTTTCCAGTTTTTTCTCTAATTTGTTTGTCTTGTTGTCTTTCATTTCACTCATATCCATGAGGGGAAAATGCTTGTTGATGTAAGTCATTCAAAATGGTCATTTTTAACCATGTTTTGGTGTCTGTCTGTTGATGCGGGCTGTCACACAACCCAGGCTGGCCTTCTACTCCTGTGTAGCTGAGAAGTGACCTTAAATTCTTCTTGCCTCCACCTCCCACGTGCTGGGCTACAGGTGTAAACCACCACATCGGAATTTGTTTTTAAACTCTTTACAATATACATGAAAACTGAAAAGTGTTGAGGTAACATAGATAATAAATGTTACACTCAAAATAGTTTTATTGTTTAGGGTACCGTGTTATATTGTAAGTCTTAAACTTCACAGCTTATGTGGAAAATGGAATATGTCTGTCTTCAGTGAAACTTGATGAACTATTCAGTGTTTCCCGACATTTCCAGGATCATGGATCCCTTTAATAAGTGATTAAGCCTAAGTTGTGTTATTTCTTCTAAAGAGAAAATTCGAACATGTAAATAATCATGAACATTTTTAATATTTAAAGGCAGTCTTGACATCCTAAAGATGACTGAATACAATCTGAACCTTCTTCAGAAAATTAGGCATTTGGTAATGGTCACCTATACTGCCTTCTAGGTTTGTGTTAATAATGTTTGAATAGTTAAAGGGGATTCCATAAAATAGATGTTTATATTGGTTTCTTTTAAAAACTATTTGGAAATAAAATTGTAAAAACATTACAGGGTTTCCATCTTCCTTTGTTATGGTTTGGATGAGAATAATCCCATAACTCATATGTTTGTGATGTGGGATTCCCCTCTGCACAATGTGAGTATGTTTTATTACCATTGGTTAATAATGAAGCTGCTTTGGCCTTATGGCAGGGCAGAACAGAGCAATGTAGGAAATCCAAGCAAAGATAGAGAAGAAAGAAGGTGGGGTTATGGAGACACCATGTATCTGCCCCAGAAGCAAGAGGTAACAAACCGCAAGCCTTGTGATAAAATATAAGATAATAGAAATGGGTTAATTTAAGATGTAAGAGCTAGTTAATAAGAAGCCTGAGCAAATAGGCCAAATAGTGTTGTAATTAATATAGCTTTTGTGTGATAATTTGGGTGTGGGTGGCCGGGAACTAAAGTGTAAACTCTGTTTACAGTTTGAATGCTTGATTCCCAGCCAGAAGAACTGTTTGGGAAGGACTGCAGAAGTTGTGGCCTCGTTGGAGGAGGTGTGTCACTGGGGGTAGGCTTTGAGGTTTCGAAACCTCACGCCAGGCCCAGAGTCTCTCTCTCTTTCTCTGACTGTGGATCAGGATGTAGCCCTCAGCTACTGTTCCCTCGGTTGCCTGCACACCACCATGCTCCCCTCCATGATAATGGGTTAACCCTCCGAAACTATGATCAAGCTCCAATTAAATACTTACTTCTAAAGGCTGCTCTTTTCGGCAACAGAAAAGTATATGAGACACATGTCTAATGTCCTCTGTTGTCTGACACAAGCAAAGTATGAGGAGCAAAATCAACAACTCTAAGCCGGCATAGACCTGTCAACTAATCCCGACAGAACCAACTAGAATCTCAGCAGCTATCCCAACGATTGCATCGCAGATTACAAATTTGCTATTGCTTATATAGCTCAGGTCTTAAAAATATTTTCATTTTCTCCGTCCATCTAACTATAACTAGTTGTTTTATAACGCTAATCATCTAACTATAAACAAGCTTAATGTGTGAGTACAGAGTCAAATTCCGTACCTTTGTTTTTCAAGTTTATTCAGTTGTTAAAATTATGTTTTAGAAATACTTAAAAATAAAACTTTAAAAATTTGTTTATAAGAATATATATAAAATGTCTAGTGCTTTGGGAGATAAATACATAGATATACACATTTTTGACTGTGTAGAGAAGACGTAAGACATTTTTACATCTTTATCTGTAGATTGTGAAAGTTCATGTGGTTTTTATTTTTAATACTTTTGCCTACATTGCCATTTTTTCTATGAAGCAGAGTTCTACTTTATAATTTTTTAAAATTATAAGAACTCGTTTAATATCAGTAACTTACTGACTGTACTAGATGATTATTTTTATTTTTATTAGTTGAGTTTTATTTTTCTTTTGAGGAAGTTTCTTGCTCTGTATCTCAGGATGGCTTCCAATTCTCCTTCCTCCTGCTCCAGCCTCCCAATCGTTGGGATTCTAAGCATGTACACCATACCCAGCCCTGAAGCCCTGACGCCTTAGAATGTTCTTTCAGGGGAAGACACTTGTTGTAGTGGATATCATTTCTCATGTAACCTGTAATTTGCTTTGAACTGGTTAGTAGATAAATGTGTTTATAACCTAAACGGAGAGGAGGAAGAAGCAAAACTGGAAATATTCTTTGTCTCCATTTTTCAAAAATGAAACTGGTGGGGGACCCAAAGAAGGAAGATTAAGGTTGCTTGCAACTCCACTCTTACCAGCGGAGAATCTTAATAATTATGTTACTTTTATGTCCCCATGTATAGTTATAGACAAAACAATAACTTACCCATTGTCTGAATTGTTTTATATCTGTAGTCAAATTCATCTTGAAGATCTTCTAAGTATTTGGTGTCTTGTTCTGTCATCTTTATACAAAAGAGAACATGCTCAAAAGGAAATACTAAACTATGTTGCAATGTTTGTACACACCATAGAAACATTATATGTACTTCTAAACAATACGCTGGGGATCCCAGCCTCCAGCAGCATCTGTCAGGAGCCTACACCTCTTTAAGAAATATTTATTTATATTTTATGTTTATGAGCACACATGTGTGCAGTATCTGAGAACTTCAGGAGAGGGCATTAGATCCTCAAAAACTGGAGTGACAGAGAGTTGTGAACTGCCAAGTGGGAACCAAACACAGGTCCTCTGCATTAGGAAACAACTTACCTCAAGACCCAGCAATACCGCTTTTGGGTATATAGCCAAAGGATGCTCAATCATAACCCAAGGACATGTGCTCAACTATGTTCATAGTAGCATTGTTTGTCATTGCCAGAACCTGGAAACAACCTAAATGCCCCTTGACCGAAGAATGGATAAGAAAAATGTGGTACATTTACACACTGGAGTATCACATAGCAGAAAAAAAAAAAACAAGAAAACAATGACACCTTGAAATTTGCAGGCAAATGGATGGTTCTAGAAAAAAACATATTGAGGTAACCCAGACCAAGAAATAAAAATATCATATGGACTCACTCATAAGTGACTTTTAGGCATAAAGGAAAGAAAAACCAGCCTATAAATCACAGCCCCAGAGAACCTAGACAACAAAGAGGACCTTAAGAGAGACAGAGATGGATCTAATCTACATGGGAAATAGAAAAAGACAAGATCTCCTGAGAAAATTGGAAGTGTGGGGATCATGAGAGAGAGGGTAGAAGGGGAGAGAGGAAGAAGGGAGTGGAGTGGAGAAAAATATCTAGCTCAATACAAGCAATAAAAATAAAAGAGCAGCAGGTGCTGTTAATCCCTGAGCTATCTAGCTCTCCCAACGCTTTTCTGCCTGCGTAGGAAATCTTTCCGCATCTCTCCCCTCATTTCTCAATTAGTTTCAGGGGCTGCTAATCACACAACTTCATGTGCTGGAGGAAATGGATCCTTTTGTCCTCTCAGGGTTCGGTCTGCTCTGTGCCAGTGTACAAGCATCAGAGAAGAACAGCTTATGACAATTCTGCCTAAACCAGTTTTCTTTCTACGTCTAAATATATGCCAGCATTCCTTATTTCTGTCTTTGAGTTCTTGACTTTTCTCCAAACCCATTCATGTTTCCTGCTTAGTCATAATAGTTGAGATCTTGAGTATTGGCTTTTCACGTATCATCTCTTCTAGGTTTCTCAGTACTCAAAAGTCCCCTGTATCCATTCTTGTCCACTGTATCTATTATTTTCCACTGTATCTACTATTATCCACTGTATCCACTCTTATTTGAATATAACTGTTCCCATTATTGTCCACTGTATCCATTCTTGTTCACTGTATCCATTCTTCCTTTTGCAGACAAAGAAACAGAGGTCTGAGCCAGGCAGTTGGGGTACATGCCTTTGATTCTGGGGTACATGTCTTTGATCCCGGCACACGTTCCTCACTTAGGAAGCACAAGCAGCTCTACCTCTGTTAACTTGAGGGCAGTCAGCCTGCTCTACAGAGTGAGTTCCAGGACAGACAGGACTACACAGAGAGACCCTGTCTCGAAAAATCAAAAGAAAAAAGAAGTAGAAGGAGGAGGAGGAGGAGGAGGAGGAGGAAGAGAGAGAGAGAGAGAGAGAGAGAGAGAGAGAAAGGCTTAACTATGTGAAATGAGTTGTGTGTCTGGGGAGATCTAGCAGCCTGGCTTTGGCCCCTAAGCCCTAACCAGACTCTCCCGGATCCTGCATTTAGACGGCTTTCCTCCTCTCTGGGACTTCTTTATTCTATGGACTTGAGCACGTATCTGGACTTCCAGCTTTGGTCTCCGCTCTTTTGTTTTTATTTTATTTCTCTTTGAAACAGGCTCTATGCCACCCTGGCTGTCCTGGAAATTGAGATGTATACTACACTGGCCTCAAACTCACAGAGATCCTCCTGCCTCTGCCTCCCGAGTGCTGGATTAAAGGTGTGCACCACAGTTCATAAAACGTCTCTGTTTATAGGACAGGTGGGAGGGAGGAGAGGAGAAACCAAAATGTACTAATATCAAAGGAAATGAGCGGTATAACGGGCTCTACAGATAAAGGAAAATAAAAGAATACAGAGCCCAATGAGATGAAATGGATACACTTCTTAAGAGCTACAAGTTACCCCACTTAACGCTAGAAGACACTTGGTACTAGAAGCAGGTTGCGTTTAAAAGCCTCCTCAAGGGAACCTTTCCTATACAAGCACAGCGTGAGGGAAACCCGCTGTCCTCTGAGACCTGTCCACAGTGGCACCCAGGCTGCCCCTACCCTTTCTAGGCAGCTACCTAAGGCCACTCACCTGAGACATCCGCACAATGTCACTCACCTGCACACTGTTTTTAATGGCGGCCACTTTGTGCTCCACGCTTCTCTGTCTTTCCGATACCGAAGAACTTTGTAAGGATTTCTCCAGAGGTCCCTGCAAAAAGAATGTCTTGAAATATCACTGTTGTTGATAAAAGCGTGTTTATGGTTATTGTCAAAGATATACTACTTTGACTCGAGGTTTGGAGCAATGAGATACAATGAGATACAGCCATTAAAACTCCCGCTGGAAGAGCTGGGCATATAGCCTACTGGCAGAGAAAGCACCAGGCTCCAGGTTCCCAACACCCAGCACAGAAAAAAATTAAGCTTGTAGTGTCCACAGTCAGACCAACTCAAAATTTTTCTCAGATGCCATGATGAATAGACAAAGAGAATGCTAGGTCTGTGTCCTTATTCCTGTTGGTTCTGGACAAATAGTTTTCTATATATGTGTGTGTATATGTATATATATACATACATATATATGCATACACACATATATACATATAAATGGTTATTTATATATACATATGTATATACACATATATCCATTATATATGCATATATACACACACACACACATACATATATGCATGCAGGGAGGGGGCAGTCAAGGTAAGCAGAGAGTTAAGTAAGACACTGTTGAAAAAGAGAACACGGGATACCTCAGACAGTTGCCTAAGGACAGAAAACCACAGTGCGGGGGAAAGAGTCAGGTCTCCAGAGGCCACAACCGTTTCTCCTCCAAGGCTCCAGCCCTAACCAATCTTGACAAGTCCACTTCTCAATAAGGACACGGGACTAAAGTTCCCTTTGTCCTTCCACTGGGGCCTTAGAGAAAGGTCTGGCTCTGGGCACTGTGGAAAGTACTAACTGACATGACACAGACAGTGTTATAATCTAAGCAACTAAGCAGATTGCAAAACACTAGACATAATTTCTACTTAGAGATGCATGTAGGGATATAAGTATATGAATATGTGCATAGATCCTTGGTATTAAGTAGATATGATAAGAATAACACATTACCAAAATGTAATATTAACACTAAATCGCAAAATTATGTGTCATTTTATGATTTTTAAAAAGATTTTCTCTTTGTGTGTGTGTGCATGTGTGTGTGTATGCGTGCACGTGTGTGTGTGTGCATGTGTGTGTGTGTGTATGGTGTGTACCACATCTGTGCAGATGGAGCAGAGTCTAGAAGTCTGATGCCCTGCAGCTGGAATTATTGGCAGTTGGGAGCTCCCCAATGTGGGTGCCAGAAACGGAACTGGGGTCCTCCGGGAGAACAGCAAGTGCTCTTAACCGCGGAGCCATCTCTCTAGCTCCTACCTCACGGCTTAAAGAAAAAAAAGTCCCATAATTTCCCACAGTCTGTTCCCATTACTCTTGAACTTCATCTAATTTTAAATTAGTGTTATAGGTTCGCATTAACTTGGGCTTCAATCAGCAACTGAGGTGTCGCACCTGCTGAGCTAGGATCCACTTTTACTCGACAGCAAAGGGAACTTACTGAGGGAATCGGGAAGGGGGGAACAATTCGGGTAAGCAGAAAGGTCAAGCGGCTCCCCCAAGCCCTGTATCTTGGCCACGCTAACAGTCTAACACCGAGGATGGCCCTGAAACGCAAAGTGCTCAGCTGTCTGAAGATGAGAACAGATGGATAAGCGGCCCCTGCATCACAGAGCTGAGCAGAGAGAGAGGTCGGGAAGGAGGACTCGACAAGGCACCGCAGAGTCCTGGCGGGACCTCAAGGAAAACCCACAACTCCCGATGGAGCGTTCCTAACCGTACTGCATTCTTCCGATCTGGAAAGCCTTCCCTCTCGCACACCCATCTCCATCATTCCATTATTTGTCTACATACTTGAAATTTAAAGAAATCCTATGTTTATGATAGCACGCAATAGCAACATACTTTCAGAGTTACTTTGATTAGTATGTACTCAAACATTCTGACTTGACTAGTAGCTAACATTTGGAGAGAGTGGAGGGCACACATCCGTGAAAGAGCAGACAGAGACTGCGGGTGAGAAAAATAGACACACAGAGAGGAGACTGGACAACTATGTATGGACAGGCAGAAAAATGGACAGCTCTAGCTGGGCAGTGGTGGCGCACGCCTGTACTCCCAGCACTTAGGAGGCAGAGGCAGATGGATTTCTGTGAGTTCCAGGCCAGCCTGATCTACAGAGCGAGTTCCAGGATAGCTAGGACTGCTACACAGAGAAACTCTGTCTCAAATAAAAATAAAATAAAATAAGAAGACAGTCCTAAACTGGAGCTTCCAAATGAAAACAATACTGTTCTTCATCACCCGAGAATAAGTTATTAAAACTCAAAAGTCTTACCAAAACATCCATACCCTGATAGTGACTAGAAGTCTTTTTGCTGTTATTTTTTTAGATTTATTTGTTATGTATACAGTGTTCTGCCTGCATGTGTGCCTGTACTGCAGGCCAGGAGAGGGTACTGGGATGCATTGCAGAGGGTTGCGAGCCACCATGTGGTTGCTGGGAACTGAACTCAGGACCTCTGGAAAAGCAGCCAGTGCTCTTAGCCTCTGAGCCATCTCTCCAGCCCCTTAGAAGTTTCTTTTATTGTTTTTACTGAGTTATATATTTTTCTCCGTTCCCCTCCCTCCCCCCTCCCTTTTTACCCTCTCCCATGATCTCCATGCTCCCAATTTACTCAGGAGATCTTGTCTTTTTCTACTTCCCACGTAGATTAGATCCATATATGTCTTTCTTAAGGTCCTCTTTGTTGTCTAGGTTCTCTGGGATTGTGAATTGTAGGCTGTTTTTTCTTTGCTTTATGTCTAAAAGCCACTTATGAGTGGGTACATGTTATATTTGTCTTTCTGGGTCTGGGTTACCTCACTTAATATGATGTTTTCTAGAAGTTTTAATAGTTTTAAAAAAGATACTTTCGTTAGATCTTCATAAGTTGTATGAGTCACTCAAGTATGGAGAATGTCATTTAGAAAATGTATTGGCTTATGAACTTAGAAAATTAACTGAGAAAGTGTGCCTTAGAGATTGTTGATCCCCCTACTTATCTTTGCTAGGTTCTTACCACGCTCAGAAGAATGAGATAAAATATACTGTAAATTACATTAGGGCAAAGAATGGTCAAATAAGTACTTAGGGAGTTTCTGTAAATCAAAATTCCTGTTGGTGGAGTAGCAGCTTAGACTCGGGAATGTCAGTCAAGATCAGCCTGTGAAGACAGACCCGCCAGAGAGGCAGAGTCCAAACCGGAACTGGGAATCTAACCGAAATGTGATTGCTGCCTTCCTAGATTCATACTTTAAGATCTTGGACCAGAAGTTAGCCATGAAAACAGAAAGAGACTTAGAGTAGTTAGTCTGGGTGCTAGACATCTGTGATCCCAGCACTTGGAAGGAGGATAGAAAGAGTCCAAGTACAAGGCCTGCTTCAGCTACACAATGAGCTCAAGGTCAGCCTCGGTGCACAGTGAGCTCAAGGCCAGCCTCAGTTAAAAAGTGAGATCAATGCCAACCTCAGCTACATAGTGAGCTCAAGGCCAGTCTCGGCTACATAGTGAGCTCAAGGCCAGCTGGTATTACATGGCCAAAAGGAAAAACCCCATGGCCAAAAGGAAAAAAAAAACCTGGAATTTGAAAAGATTTGGTAATTATACCAATATGAAAAAAAGACAAGAAACTTCTCAAAGATGAGCCCAGGACCCTGAGCAAGAGTGCCAGGAAGGCCGGTGACACCAACAACACAGAAGAAGACCCTGATTTTGCAGAAAACTGAACTCAAGGAGAAAGCAAGATCACAAACTCAGAAGCTATGACTTGGCAAGCCAGCAAAGCGATGGCTAATGCATATGATTATGGATCAGAAGACGTTACCTGGATAGGCATGTTGGCTGCAGCCAGTATTCTTCTCTCTTCCCTTAAACAATTTGAGATGACCACAGCTACATGCATGGGATTCCCGTGAAACTTTCCCTGAAAAATAGCAAAAACGGGCAGCGTAAAAGGCTTCGAAGACACACGGATGTCCTAAGGAAATGTTCTACTTAAGAACCTGCAATCATCTCCTTCTACAAATATTTGGGATCTGTTCCATATCTATTCGTTTGCAATGTCATGGAAACTTAGACTCTTAAGGAGAGAATGTTGCTCTCTTTGCTTTCAAAACTCCAAGCGGATGTTCTTTGAGACTTCTTTATCAAAGCCCTGAACACACTGGTGGGTCAGATGACTTAGGCGCTAGGCAGGTTTAGGACAGAGCGGTTATGTCCCTGTGAGTTCTCCAGGACCAAAAGGGTCACAGCTGTGCGTGTGGCAGCTCGCTGCTTCAGGCTAACAGGCTATCCCGAGATCCCCAGTTGATGGCATTCACGTCAACTACCTCAGAACTAACATTATACTCAAGCAAAACTAAACCCACTTTTCAGCCATGATATCTTTGACATTGAAGCATGTATATATTTTATTGCCAAGGTTAATGATGCATATATTGCTAATTGGCAGCCCGAGGCACTATTGAGCCGTCAGATACGTTTCTGTAAATGAAAGTCGTGAATCTCTTTAGGTGGTCGCAGTGGCCAGCAATGAGTGTGCGTTCATTTGACTTACCCGCAAGAACTGTGTTTTCTAGCCTGGAAAGCCATAATTTAGCTAGGAGTGTTAAAGCCTCTTTACCAGACTTTCTTGAGGCAAGATTAGCGAGAGGCACAGGAGGCAGGCATGCTAATTGATCTCTGCCCTCTTCTCTTGAGGGAGTACTGATACCCATGGAATGGTTAAAAGGTCAACGGCAGAAAAGTTAGCAGTCCAAAAAGTCGAAAATTAACACCAATCAAAAGTAGATTAAACAGACAACTAAACCAAAGAATCTTTCTGGAGAGAAAAATGGAGGTTGTCGGTTGTAAATGTTATTATGGCCGTGACTTCTGCGGTAGTGTTTCAGATTCTGTGTCAATTAACATTTCCACCTGCGAAAGTGGGGTAAAAACCAGCTATTCAGGTTTCTGTTCTTCCACATTCACTCTTTAAACATCTTTTCCTTCAGATCAAGGGGATACAAATTGGAAAAGAAGAAGTCAAACTCTCACTATGTGCTGATGATAGGATAATTTACATAAGGTACTCCAAAAATTCTACCAAGGAACTTCTACAACTCATAAGCACCTTCAGTAATGTAGCAGAATACAAGATTAACTTGAAAAAATCAGCAGTCCTCCTGTATAGATGATAAATGGACCGAGGAAGAAATCAGAGAAACATCACCCTTCACAGTAACCACAAATAGCATAAACTATCTCGGAGTAATTCTAACCAAACAAGTGGAAGACCTGTATAACAAGAACTTTAAATCTTTGAAGAAAGAAATTGAAAAAGATACCAGAAAATGGAAAGATCTCCCATGCTCTTGGGTAGGAAGAATTAACGTAGTAAAAATGGGAATCTTACCAAAAGCAGTCTACAGATTCAATGCAATGCCCATGAAAATCCCAGTAAAATTCTTCACAGACTTCAAAAGAACAATACTCAACTTCATATGGAAAAACAAAAAACCCAGTATAGCCAAAACAATCATGTCCAATAAAGGAACTTCTGGAGGCATCACAGTCTCTGTCTTCAAACTCTACTACAGAGCTACAGTACTGAAAACAACCTGGTACTGGCATCAAAACAGACAGGAGAACCAATGGAACCGAATAGAAGGCCCAGATATCAATCCCCATACCTATGAACCCCTGACTTTTTAACAAAGAAGCAAAATATTTAAAATGGAAAAAGAAAGCATATTTAACAAATGGTGCTGGAATAGTTGGATATCAACATGTGGAAGAATGAAAATAGATCCATATCCATTGCCTTACACAAAAGTCAAGTCCAGATGGTTCAAAGACCTCACCATAAAACCAACCACACTGAACCTTATAGAAGAGAAAGTGGGAAGTACACTTGAATGCATTGGCACAAGAAACCACTTCCTGAATATAACCCCAGCAGCACAAACACTGAGAGAAACAATTAAGAAATGGGACCTCCTGAAACTGAAAAGCTTCTGTAAATCAAAGGACACAGTCAACAAGACAAAACAGCACCCTAAAGAACAGGAAAAGGTCTTCACCAACCCCACATCAGACAGAGGTCTGATCTCCAAAACATACAAAGAATTCAAGAAATTGGTCATCAAAAGAAAAAACAATCTAATAAAAATAGGGTACAGACCTAAACAGAGAACTCTTAACAGATGAATCTAAAATGGCTGAAAGACACTTAAGGAAATGCTCAGCATCCTTAGCCATCAGAGAAATGCAAATCAAAACAACTCTGAGATTCCATCTTACACTTGTAAGAATGGTCAAGATCAAAAACATTGATGACAAGTTATGCTGGAAAGGATATGGGGTAAAGGGAACACTCCTCCATTGCTGGTGGGAGTGCAAACTTGTACAGACATTTTGGATATTAGTATGGTGTTTTCTCAGAAAATTAGGAAACAACCTTCCCCAAGACCCAGCACTTTTGGGTACATACCCAAAGGATGCTCAATCATACCATAAGGACATGTGATCAACTATGTTCATAGCAGCTTTGTTTGTCATAGCCAGAACATGGAAACAGCCTAAATGCCCCTCGAATGAAGACTGGATAAGGAAAATGTGGCACATTTACACAATGGAGTACTACACAGCAGAAAAAAATAACGACATCTTGAAATTTGCAGGCAAATGAATGGATCTAGAAAACATTATTTTGAGTAAGGTAACCCAGACCCAGAAAGATAATTATCACATGTACTCACTCATAAGTGGTTTTTAAACACAAAACAAAGAAAAACCAGCCTACAAATCACAATTCCAGAGAACCTAGACAACAATGAGGACCCTCAGAGAGACTTACATGGATCTAATCTGCATGGGAAGTAGAAGTAGAAAAAGACAAGATCTCCTGAGTAAATTGGGAGCATGGGGACCATGGGAGAGGGTAGCAGGGGAGGGGAGAGGAGGGAAGGGGAGCAGAGAAAATGTATAGTTCAATAAAATCAATAAAACATAAAGAAATACTGAAAGCAAATATATACAAAAAAATCTGTTCCTTCTTTAAGACGGAAAGTTCCAGCCTAGAAGTGGTGAACTGACTGACATTCAGAAGGCACAGATACGAAGGTGACCCCACTCAGTCTGTGGGAATGCCGTTCCTAAGACATCTACGATTTCAGTCTATTTGAATTGATTCCTGTTCATCTTGGCAGCTCTTGGTTCTTTCCATGTAGCTTGTCTTTAAGTGCTTCTCGCCCCAGAACCTAGGTTTTCCCGCCTTTTTCCTGACGGGCATTTCACCGCTAAGAAAGGGTTTCTTTTTGAGCTAATTTGGAAGCTCTGCAATTGAGACTTTGTCCTGGGACGAGGATCCCTCTGAGGTCACAGACACACCATGTCGCCTTTGCTCTTCTGCGGATGGAGGACCGCCCATCGAGGAGATGTCCTCAGACTCTGCTGTGCTGAGTTCATCTTCAGTCTCCTGCCAACCTTAACCTTCCACGTCCTTCCTCGCCCCTCTGCTGTCCTCCGTGTCTTTCATCGTCTTCCTTTCTTTCCTTTAAGGGCCAAGCATCAGTCCTCTTTTCATCCAAGAATTCATTATTGCTTTCCTCTGCGTATTCAATATCAAATTATTATTTCGTGTTCCTAAGTATTAAAGACGTGTTCACGCTCACCTTTGAGTGGTGTCTATGTATACAGATCTCAGAACAGCAATACAATGAACCCCAGCATGTGCGTTGCTTGCAAGGGAAAAAGCAACCCAGAGGGAGACATGCAATGGTGTTCTACTTCTTTGTCAAAGTATCGCGAAGGTTTTAAGCTCCCTGCAGTGACCCCCACTGTCTCCTAGTGTCGGTCAACAGAAGCTTTTAATTGCAGCAAAGTCGGGTTTATTAGTCCTTTCCCCAGTGACTAGAAATTTTAATGATCTGCTTTATAAACCTTTTACTAGGTTTAGGGGCTGTAAATGGTATAGCTGTGACTGCTACTGGTGTTTGTAGCCAGGGCTTCTGGCTACAATGTTATCCTGGTGTTTGCTAGCCAGGGCTTCTGGCTACAATGTTATCCTGGTGTATGCTAGCCAGGGCTTCTATCTGTACAACAACGGTAACCGGGATATTGAGAGTAACAACACCAGGAGCCCTAATAATCTAACTTTGCTGTTAATTGCAGTTTATTTGGAGCTTTTCAGAGAAGAAGGTTTCTTTTATTTTTTTTTTCCTTTTGTTACACAGTTCCAACAGCGTTCATTGAGAACCCTTCGTTCCCACTGTTGGCCCAGTTTGGTCATAAATCCTGTCTTCCCACCAACATGAGAGGTCTTGGGTTCCATCTTAGAGATCCCTCTCTGTGTCGCCAGTGAGGTGTCACTGGAGCTTTCTGGTAAGTCCTGAAAGCAAGGGCATTTCCACGCAAATTTCAGAATCTGCTTGCAAGATTCCCCTATGCACACACATTCACAGAATCTCCATCCCTCCCCCTTTTAGTCCCTCTCCCTCCCTCCCTTCCTCCTTTCCTCCCTCCCTCCCTCCCTCCCTCCCTCTCTCTCTCTCTCTCTCTCTCTCTCTCTCACACACACACACACACACACACACAGACACGCACACACACACACAGAGTTTCAGTGTCATTGGATCTTTAAGGAAATTAAGGGAGATTTGGTATGCAATACACATTGCTCTGATGGTCTAGTCATAGCAGAATTGTACAATGTCTCTCTGCTCCATAGGAGATCTGAAACATCTTTTGTGGGGGGTAACTTCTGTTTAGTTGATACTGTTTTGAATGAGCACACCTGATACCTTCCTGTAGTATGAGGGGCCGGCTTGTTGGGGTTTCTGTCCCGCCCAGTACCCCACAGCCGGCAAACCCCAAAGAAAATCACACATAAGACTCCAGAAGATTATAAACTGATTGGTCCATTAGGTCAGGCTACTTATTAGC